ATTCTCTTGCCTTAGCCTCCCAAGTAGCTGGGACTACAGGCACCCGCCACAACACCTGGCTGTTTTTAGAGATGAGGTCCCCCACCTGCTTAGGCTAGTTTCCAACTTGTGAGCTCAGGGCAGTCCACCTGCCTTGGCTTCCCAGAGTGCTAGGATTACAGGCATGAGCCACTGTGCCTGGCCCCTATTTTGTTTTAAATGTTATGCTTTAGCAGTTTTCTTATAGTACTATCTTGAAAAATTTAAAAATAAATCCATGTTACTACAGTATAGAATATTCTATATTGTAGTAGTATTTTGCATAGTGGTTTTTTTTTTTTTGAGACAGAGTCTCACTTTGTAGCCCTTGGTAGAGTGCTGTTGTGTCATAGCTCACAGCAACCTCAAACTCTTAGGCTTGAGCAGTCCTCTTACTTTAGCCTCCCTGGTAGCTAGGACTACAGGCTGAGCCCCAGTTAGTTTTTCTATTTTTAGTAGAGATACAGTCTCAGTCTTGCTCAGGCTAGTCTTGAACTCCTGAGCTTAAGTCATCCACCCATCTCAGCCTCCCAGAGTGCTGGGATCACAGGTGTGAGCCACCATGCCTGGCACCTACACTGTATTTTTGAGAAATATGAGAAAAGCAGTTTGTGCTTTAATGTAGATCATGATGTTGGTGTTACACTGGGTTTGTGACAGGTTTATTTTTCATACTTTTGTTAGACCTTTGGGTAATCAGTGATGGCACATTATCAGGAAATGACAGGTTATTAAAGTTTGTAAAGAATTCAGAAACTTAATTTTTATTTATTATATGAGATTAATTTCCTACTTTTTTTTAAACTGAAACTTTTTTTCTGCTTCTGTTTGTGCATGCTGTTCACTACACTGCAGTAAATTTTTGGAAGGGCAGGATAGGTTAGACTTATCAGACTTTTCTTTGGGGGAGGGACAGAATCTCACTATGTTAGCCTGGGTCATAGCGCAAAGCAGCCTCAAACTCTTGGGCTTAAATGATTCTCTTATGTCAGCCTCCCAAGTAGCTGGGACTATAGGCGCCTGCCACAATGCCTGGCTATTTTTTTGTTGCAGTTGTCTTTGCTGTTTAGCTGGTCCAGACCAGGTTTGAACTCACCAGCCTGAGTGTATATGGCTGCCACTACCCACTGAGATATGGGCACTGCCTGACACATCAGACTTTTTAGGAGTTAAGTGATTTAGATGCTTGACTTGGAATCTGGGTAGATGAGCTTTTGTATATGTACCATTCTTTCTTCAAAAGTAACTGGCCTAAACCACATAAAAATAATGGATTGATTATAAATGACCTTTCTTTTCTTCTTTCTTTTTTTTTTAAAGACAGTCTTACTTTGTCACACTTGGTAGAGTGCCATGGCCTCACAGCTCACAGCAACCTCAAACTCTTGGGCTTAAGTGATTCTCTTGTGTCAGGCTCCCAAGTAGCTGGGACTACAGATGCCTGCCACCACGCCTGGCTA